GTATTGGAAAGTACCGTACATTAAGAGGGTATGGGGAACAGTATGTGTCAAAACTTTTTTTCCCGATGAAAACTATTATAAACAATAAAACAAAACAAAAAACAATTTAAATATTGAAATATAAGCTAAATATTAGAGTTTTCCAGCGCTGACTGTTGGGCACAAAATATACACATATTTTTGGCGAATAAACTTTTATCCCTTCGGAGAGTTAGCGTTTGAAACATAAAAATATAAATAATAAAAAACTTTTCTCTGTTGAGCACTCATATAAAAACTACAGTTCCAGTCGAGTGGCTGTAGTCAGGAAGCGTTCCCATACACTGTGCACCACAACATATACAGGGGAGAGAATGCGCCAGTGAATGGAGTAGAAAAAGCACCAGGTGCGCCTATGAGTCAGGTAACGCCGTGTTACAGCTCAGGTATGGTATGGTGTGTGTGTCAACTCCGGTATCCCATATATCGTATCCACAATCCACTCTCCAATGTCTCTCAACTGTTGTCTGTGTGTGAGAGCCGTCTGTTCTGCCTATCCTTCTGAACGCAAAACTTCTGAAAGAGATTTTCAAGTTTTGCCTCAAATGGGAACACCGTTTCGCAGTTGCATTGGGAGGCGGTTACCAGTGCTCTCTCGCAGCGCTTATATACACTGTTTATAAGTCGTATCACTTGTTGCTTAAGTAATCGCTTTTCTCTTTCTCTCTCTTCTCTGCTCTAATAGACAAACATTTTTCAGCTATTATAGTGTTTTAGTCGTTGAGAAAAGCACTTTCAAATTACACTGCTTATAATTACCAGTTATTGGCGTTTCACTGAATTTATTATTAGTTTCATTTAAACATGTTATTATACCAATCTCTCTCTCTCTCTCTCTCTCTTTCTCTCTCTTTCTCTCTCTCTTATTTTTGGATAAATATTTCGATATATAGATCTACTGAGAAAATATTATTATTCATTATTCACTACTTATTGCATAAATAAATGTTATATTATATAACTTATATAAGACTTATAGCCAGCCATTCGGGGAATTTCCTTAAAATTCTTGGATTTCCTTTTAATCTCTGACCCGGAATATCGTGACTACACCTGCCATACCTTATGTGTGTATGTGTGCTTATTTGTGTGGCTTCCCATTGAACTCACACTTTCTCTGCCTTCCCTGTCATCCCTATCCCTCAAACCCCTGACCTTCTGTTTCCTTTTTTAATTCAAATCGCGATTGCATTCAATGTCCCAAAACATCCCACTCTTCCCTTATATAATAGTGTTAATCCTATAAATCAAATTTTAAGTCAAGTATTCATTTAATTGGGAAAATATATAATTTTTTAATGGTGTTGGTCACAAACGTTTGTGAGAATCGGTAACAAATGGAAATCAAATAACCATTTCAATGTAAATCTTATTCAACAATAATATTCATATTTGCATATTATTTGACTTTTAAAATTATACCCTTATATACTACAAACTAATGACATGAATGACTATTTTATGAATAAAATACCTTTTTGTTGCATAACTTAACAAATCGGTTGCTTTATACTGAAAATATATTGTATATTCAAAATTCAAACACATTATTCAGGATTCAGAGAAGTTTATAAGAGAACTCAAACAGTATCTGAAGTAAATTTTTTTGTAGATTTATAATACAGTATAACTTTTTTAAAACTCATATTTTTTCAATTGTGTAATAAAACGTTTTGAACTCATATTTTAAAGTCTGAAACTCTTGCAATATGCAATTCACATGATATGAGCTATTGTTAACAAATACAAACCCAAAACCCAAATCTACATAAAAGAATTTCTAAGATTTATTTATACATCCATTCAATTAATGTGAAAATTATGATAAAAGGACTTAAAAACTCAACTGTTTAATAGCAACAATGAGAATATTAAATAAATTTATATTAATGGATTAAGTGCAAGAAAATATCTTTTACACAATATTTTTATCATTTTATATAATAAGATATACTGACATTAAATGTACTTAATAATAATTTGTTTATAAAATTCATTTCAAAGTTTTATTCTACATTTATGCGTAAAATCTATTGTATTTCATCTTTAATAAAATTTTAATAAATTAAATATTTAATATTAGTTAAGTATTTTATTAACGTATTTGTAATTTTACCAGGATAAGTAAAAGGTTCAATTGATTATAAAAATAATAAATAACTTTAAAAACTTTTATTCTTATGCCTAAAGTTTACACAAATAGATCATGAAAATAAAAGGCAATGTCAAATGAATAAGATGTACGATTATTTAAACAATGTACACAACTGGTTAGCAATCATTGTATTATGTAAATTGTTTTGTGTGTATAAAACAAAGCATTTGTTAAGTTTTGATTCATATAACTCTCTGTATATCGGGAGTCTATATGAACCTATTGGGGGTAATGTACGATACAAATAGATAGTGAATCCCCTTTATAAGTTTTATGAGGTATGAGAATAAAGTCATTATTCATAACTGAAATATGCTCTTAAATGTGAGTTTATTTTAAGGGATGATAAGATTTTCTTTTTTCTTAAGATTAACAAATTAATAACTTTCACGTCTATTATGTCTTTTATGCTAAGATTGCAATTCATTTATTATCCAATTCTGTATAATCTGTCAGTCCTTCCGATGGGTTTTCAGCCCTAATCTTAATTTATTATCATTTTAGAGCAAGGTGGTTTTGTGCACATTATTTCAAGAGAAACATTATTTTGTCAAACTTTTTTTAAACAAAATACTGCAAACTTAATTATTACTGCCCTGATAGTTTTATTTTCTATGAAGTAATGCAATGGTGTGTATTTTGATAACAAATTCTCATTAGATTCAGTGAATTATTAATATAATGATTTACCACTAATTTGTTGTTATTTTTCTAAACATTGTCTCTCATAAACACAATTCATAATAAAACATATTTAAGGGATGATAAGATTTTCTTTTTTCTTAAGATTAACAAATTAATAACTTTCACGTCTATTATGTCTTTTATGCTAAGATTGCAATTCATTTATTATCCAATTCTGTATAATCTGTCAGTCCTTTCGATGGGTTTTCACCCCTAATCTTAATTTATTATCATTTTAGAGCAAGGTGCTTTTGTGCACATTATTTCAAGAGAAACATAATATTTTGTCAAACTTTTTTTAATAAAAGACTACAGTATTGAAATGTTATATGTAATATACAATATTTAATATACTGCAAACTTAATTATTACTGCCCTGATAGTTTTATTTTCTATGAAGTAATACAATGGTGTGTATTTTGATAACAAATTCTCATTAGATTCAGTGAATTATTAATATAATGATTTACCACTAATTTGTTGTTATTTTTCTAAACATTGTCTCTCATAAACACAATTCATAATAAAACATGAATTGACATAAAAATTATGTGAACAACAAATATGGACTTTCATTGCATTAACATNCAATGGTGTGTATTTTGATAACAAATTCTCATTAGATTCAGTGAATTATTAATATAATGATTTACCACTAATTTGTTGTTATTTTTCTAAACATTGTCTCTCATTTTGTGTTAAGTATTATTTTGTACTTAACTGTATTTTTAATACACTTGTTGTTTATACCTGAAAGTAACGTAATTGTAAGTAAATTACTATTTGAACTGTATTTACACGTAAAAACCTCGTAAATCAAAAGACTAGTATGTCTTGATGTATGCAAGCATTTAGTGTGGGATTTAGTTCACATTGATATTCAAGTGTTTCAGTAATGATAAAGATTTTACTTTTTTGATATATTTCAAAACATAAACAATTAAATTGCAAATTCATATTGAATTATAAATAATATTACTTTTCTAATGAGGAGTTTAGGAAACAAATACATTATGTATTAAGACTTTTAAAAGTAAAATTGTTTAATTTTCTAGTTATTTGTCATAATAAATTTTTTATGACAAACTTGCACTGTAAACAACACTAAAAGTAATTAATTATAGAGAATGCAAAGTATGCAAAGAATTTCTATACAGTATAATACAGTACTTATAAGAATCTCATTTTTGATGAATTAATAAATTATTTTTATTGTATAATACTATTAAAAACATGTGTAGAAAATGTATGATTTATTGAATTAATTTTGAACTTTAAAGAATGCATTGTATTACTACAGAAATCTATAGAAATATTATAAATTTATTAGTTTATCCACTTTTGGGTTAGAGTTGGTTTGGTTTGGTTTTTGTTTGACATTTTCGGCCTTTTTATCCACAACTAATCTGTCGGCAAAACAATGGACTCAACACTGGATGAAGGGATGTCCTCTAACAGCGATTTTGTTATTTTGGTTTTCATTGGGCTATCATTAGGTCTCTTATTATTGCCATTCTTTGACCGCTTTTTCCTAACACTTAATACCACTACATAAGCCACTAATGAGACTAAAAATATTACCAGCAAAATGATCATCACTTTATCCAAGATGTTGTTCCCCCTATTGGTCTGGTTTTCCGACGGAATTGTCGTTTGATTACTGCTGTTATTATTGATGTTATTATCACTCGTCTCGAAACTAAACATAAGTTTGTTTTCAAACAAAATGTAATAATTTTTAGCATTTATTTCCACTAACGTTTAAATTAGGAAAATATCAAAGTATTTACAATGGTCTATGTCCTGGTGGCCAGTTAGCACTGGAAATATTAGACACAGGAATGGCCCAGTTTAAAAATTCAAACATAGTTTCCGAAGTTTTATTAGTCACTTTTTAAAGAAAATTATTCTTATAAACAAAAATAAATAACTTATAGATAGTAATAATTATAAAAATCTCAATTTGTAAGTATCACTACATTTGTCAGTTTGACTAAGAAATCAAGTTTTTCTACAAAAAGACGTTTCCGTTAATTATAGCTGTATTTGAAATTTTATAACAATTAAAAACACTACAGTTATAATCGTAATATCTATTGCTAATCAAAATTAATGCAAACAATTAGCTCTGAATTTTTTGATGAATCCAATCGACATATCGCGAGACTTTTGTATAGACTGTCGGGAATGACGACTCAGCACAGGCCACACCGTATGATACAATTCCTATAATATAAGCCCTGTTCCCCACCGCCTCTATTAATGGTCCGCCAGAATCGCCCTAAAAATGGTTGATTTTTAATATAATTTTTTGTTTGCTACATTTAAATTGTGAAATAGACTGTATTGACTAAAATTACGAGTTTTCTGATAAGTTAACCATAAAAAATAAAAATTATTGTTTGCAAATGAGTTGCTCATTAATTAGTGGCTCATACCATACATGAGTCCCGGCCTCCCTGTCCTCCGAAGCACACCATATTTTGTGTGATATCTCCAATGTTCTGGTAGTTGAGGCGACACTGATCTGTAGGATATAAAGGGACGACCAGCTTCTGGATTACTTGCGATGTATACGAATCTTTAGACGTCTGTCCCCAACCAGCTATCAGCGCCTCGTCTGGCATCTCATGATCCGCGCGGGGAAGACATATACTATTGATTTGGTATCGACCCGTCCTTTCATTGATCATGTATTTGATGGGAACGTCGGTCTTATATAAGGCGATATCGTTTAAGTTGTTCTCGCGATCCCAGCGCTCGTGTACTATAATCTTAGCCACTCTTACGACATACCCGTCGCCGTCATCGGACAGGTCATAGGCGCCCACTCTAACCATTAGTTCGTTTTCTCTGCCTATAAAACTAAATCCAATACTATTTAAATTGACATAATTTAATTGGCAAACAATTAATTACTTATCAGAGCAATGAGCGGCCGTTAGTATGTAGTAGTCATGAATGATAGCACCGCCGCAGTAGTGGACATACCGGCCGTAAAGTGGCTTATTAAGTGAGACCAACCACGGGAAGTCATTTTTGGTGGCGACTACTCCGCCTACAACTCTCGTCTGAACGAATATACTCTTGTGGGTGGGTTTACCCATAAAATGATGGTATAGATTGTATGCAGAGGGGAATAATTGTGACCAATATTTTTCGATGAAATTATCAAAATGATTTATTTTTGTGCCAAATGATGAGATTTTGAATCCATTGCCGTATTTATTTAAACCGCAAAACTTTGAGTTTGTGTCCACAGTATTGAGACCATAATATCTTAATGTATTCTTATAGTCGTTGCGGGAATGGAGTCTTCGATAATAGGATAGACATTCCTCCAGACAATCGTAATCAGGATAACATTCTTCGCATAATTGGCTGTTTGCTACTAATTGTCAATTAACGCTAAATTTATATTAAAAATTATATACTAAACTCAAATTCATACCGAAAACAACAGCAAATACCTCCTGGGTTATTTGCGGGTTTGAACCATTTAAAAAATACACAATTTCCATGGAGGTATTTACGGTTATATAACCCCATACCCGTTCTCTACCTTCATAGCCCATGGGGTTATACCATATAAAACTATTTACATGTATAGACCGTTCCCATGGGGGTATTCACCATGATATAACCTCACCTTTCATACTCTACCACCATATATCAAAGGGTTTTCCTGTCATTTTCGGTATTTTGTTACCATTAAAGTGTAGTATATTGATTAAAACACAATAGATTACAGCATTTTTATTATACAATAAATCAAACATTTTTCTTATAATACTGTAAAGATTG